AGGCGCGCATAGGATGCAAGAACACAACGGAGAAGATTTTGAGGTAGGAGTCACTATCCTTACGCAGGAATCGAAAACATCAGCGCGAAAAACTCTTGAAGCGTTTTGGATCAATGCCAAAAATTCAAAAATGAACCGCAAGGAGGAGTGTCTTGTCATCACGCGTGACCTAGCGCCATACCTCAGGCTGATCCAATGATCTGACATGGACCCAGTTATCGACCATGTATTACTCTGTGCGGCGGCTATCCACCAACTAACTTAAATACTTACGACAAATAAACGGTAGGTGTTTGAATGAAGCTGTTTCTTATGCGAACACAAATCGATTTATCAAGTTTTATCTGCTAGGGTTATGAAAGTGTTTGGCTGAGTAGATCGCATCTCAATTTGACCTTTCCAGGCTCTGAAGAAGGCGAAACCGCCGAAACGTCAGCAATTGTGTTCTAATAAATTCTATATTAACAACCTCGTGTCTGCTTATTGATGAAAAACATTGAATTATCAATTAATGCCGAGGTTAACAGAAAGTCGGTCATGGGAATGACTACGTGCTGTATGACTTAACAATTACGATAACCTACACTGGTGACAGACGAGATCATTACGGTACGGATCTGAAGACCGGGCGAAACTGGATAGTCAACGATCCTGGACAAGGGTAAACCTGGATAGTCGGCGATCCTGGACAAGGCCGAACCAGGATGGTAATTAACGAGGCTATTTATATACTTCTGGAGAAGGCGGTATTTGGCACAGGTCCAGCATCTTTACCAAAAACATTCGTCGGCTACCGTCTCCATATCCTCTCAAAACCACATATCATCTGGCGGAAGAGTGCTCTCGCAAACATCCTCATGCCCTTCTTGTTATTGTACGCATGATGACTTTTGGACAGTAATAACAAACAGTGAGTTCAGATTGCAAAAATAGGTTTGCACAGCAAGGCTGTTTACAGCGATCGAAGTTGCTAAGGAGGGATCGAAATATTTACGTACTACGACATTTACTAGGCAACTTGGGAAACAGTGGATATGATCCTTACTACTAAAACATACAGTAATAGAAAGATACAAATATATATAGGAAGAAATAGAAACTATTTTGGGAATAGTTGCTAAACACTCTGCATCCATATGAAGGAACACCTAGTCGGTAAATTTAAACCAAATACCCCACTACGCTCGCATAGGACCCAAAGGCATAACGGGGAGGACTTTGAAGTAGAAGTTACCATCCTGCGAGTTATCAGGACTTTTCGAAAAAAACAACCACCAGTTGTTCCACTGCAGATTTTGGATGGCAAAAAAAATTCTCCCGATCTCGCAAGTCCATAAGATTCGAATAAGAGTAGGTGACTAAATTGGTGGTTATCCCACTTCAGGATTAGTATAGGTGCATTCACGCAGTATTAGAATACCTGTAAGCGCTAGGAAATGTTGGGCAGCTTCTGTTAAGTCTGTTTAAGTAATTTTATATCCACTCATTTCATACAGGGCCATGATTCATATTAAAGACTGAAAGTGAAATAGCACTCAAATTGCCGATCAATGAACTAATCTGGAAGAAGACCTTTGTAAACGATTAAGGGAGAGCACGGCCTTTCACGAGCCACGTTCGAGATAAAATCTGTGTTTGACAATTAATCGATTTGACGTTTAAGCTATTTACTAGTGCGAAAAGTGCGAGAAAAACTATGCTTGTCGAAATAAGCAAGCGAAAAGGAAATGCATTAGATCCAGTGTGTTTCGTCTACATCGCCCACTCTCACACAGGAATCGCATTCATTGCATCTCGGGCACTATGTTTTGTGACATGCAGGTTGCGGTAGCAATGCCTTACAGTACTGTTGATAGTGTAGTGTTGATAGAATGCTAGTAGAATAAAGTGGTCGCCTTTAATTTGCTGCCTATTCATTTTTTCATGGCAGGGCATGACGTGAAATGTAACCACAGAGATGCCGAGATATTTTGCACTACTCCGGACTGCAGGTTATCGTAGAATACATTTGAAAGCTGAGTATTGGTTCGCGTTCGGATTCGTTTTGGTGAACATCTGATGAGCGTGCTTATTGTTGCTGTTGTTCTTAGTAGCCACAGATGAGCTTCAATAAACGCTAAAACTGATTCATTTGCCGTATTTCCAATGTTTGCGTTTCTTCCTCATCTTTTCGTCGGATCACTGCAGAAGCGACGATGTTTGTTCCTTACTGGATTGACTACCGACATCGAATTCTATTCATATCCACACCGGGTGTCCTCGCTATTCGATCTGTGTATAGCCGACAATGAGTGTCATGTGGTCGGCGCTGGCAGAGCAATAGAGGATATGAATGGTGTGCAGTGTTTATCCAGCTTTTATTTGTCCTGAACAATCGATAGTACAAGATCTTCGGCCAACATTTAACGCGATCGGCACTGGTCATCAATCTCGTAGGTATGTTCTTCTTAGGATTTTGTTAAACATTGCTATGTTTTTTATTCTGACCTGTCTCATAATACCTTCTATACACCTGCTTCTTTCTTATTGAACGCGTTGGGATAACAGCACTAGGGATACCAGTGCCGATGTTGCAATTCACAATACCATCCATCAGAAGCTCTTGTTCTACGGCAACGATTATCTGCTATTGTTACTAATCAAAAAACTACACTTTATTGTTTTCTGATATGTATATGGTTGTGAGGCGTGGCACGTGTGGCGCAGTGGTCGGAAGCACCCTGCAATACGCATGGGTTCGATTCCCGCGCCCATGGCCCACCAAGCCTTCCATCCCTCCGAGGTCGGAAAATTGGTACCAGACTTGTCTGGGAGGATGACAGCACTGGCACGAAACATCTGTAGGCCACTGCGGGTCATTGTAAAGCCAGACATACATTCAACCACCTCCAACGATACTTAGTGAAGTCGAATGTGAGGAGCATCCCTAAGGGATTTATCAACGCCGAAAACTTTTATGAGCTTTTATATGGTTATTTCCTCAACTGTACAATTACTTGCATTTAATTCCTGAAGATTTTCTTAAGAAATCTGCACACAGTTACCCTGCTAATATTGGACACTTATTCTGTGAAATAAAACTTATTGGACACAGTGTTTTTAGTGAGTAGCAAAGCATGTTAGAGAGAAAAAGGATTTTTCCAGAATTAATGCGTAACTCGATTCAGACGGACGTGTTGTTCATCGTGACCTCCATAGCGGCGTTGAAAGTTGGGCTGACGGAATCTCGAAGTGAGCGGACCATTTCCACAGTTCACACCACTCTCTCAAATGAATTTACATAAGCTGATCGAAATTTATATGCACATCAAATTTTTCTTATATGACCGTTTACGTTACGGAGAATATGACAATCACCGTAAAATAACTTCATCAACCATTTTCACTGCCAAAGTTTGTTAATCTTGATTTTTTTTACTGCTTAAGTCTCAACCAACGCCTTCGGACAAGGTTGTGCCCTAATACATCTTCCCAGAATTTCATTTGTACCATCTTTATGCTTCAGGTAACTGCTACAGTTGTGCTTCTACAAACATGAAATCGGTAAGAGCATAGATTATGAACGATATTTTATTAAATGCTTTGTTTATTCAATTATTGGACTGAACCAGTGGTTTTCAAAGGACCACCGAAGCCATTCCAAATAGATGGAAAACTTATGGTACCCAGTCAGTCGAGTGGTTTAAAATTCCATCGAGGAGGCTAAATGCCGAAGTATCATGGGATGAAAAGGCACTCAAAATGAGCATGAATCCACATGTTACTTAGTTCACCGTCATCATTCGCGTTCTATTTTTGTTTGTTCTTGCGGTTATCCATCGCCAGAAGATAAGCGGTGATTTGATTCTAAAGACCGGATTTTCTGAATAGCATTTGTAATGCTCCGCAATGCATTATCCGCCTCATTGACTCTCATGAGCGCTTCTGTGTGTTGACTTGGAATGTAGAGCTGGTTTTTGTCTGCGCAGCACCATTTTCCAAGCTGAGCTGGGGCTAGATGTAAACCACTGTGCTGGCAGTGATTTCCATGCCGGCAACAATGCGGCCACTTGCTAAGAAGTAACTTGGTGAAGCCCTAACACGGATTTGGAGAACGGAGGGAAGGGAAATCTTGCCTAACTGGTAATTTACCAGCCAACTGGAATTTTTGTGTTCCCGCACGATGCTTTATGATTCCTGAAGATGGCTATTCAAGTGTTATACGTTTAGCATATTGTTCCCATTGCTAATTCTAATTTTAATATATTCTGTAAGAAATACGAGTTGCGAACTCCAGTAAATAGGAAGTAAGAGATGGGGATTACCAACTTGTTTGACAGCAAGGTCGGCTGAGCAAAGCGTTACAGTGTTAGACCTAAATTCGCTACCTCGACGAACTTGTAATTGGGACACAAATCCCCAATCTAAGTCGGATTGATCAATGTCATAAACTTTATCTAAAGTGCTTAAAGCACTGAGAGCACTCTCTGTTCGAGCGCGTGTTACAGTATTTTTCAAATGCTGGTTGATAATGAGATTTGCTCTTCTTGCAAGAAACAAGCAGAAGTCGCCCATATTGGTTTCGATGGACATCGAAAACCATTTAAATGAATCCCTCTCAGTATACTCCTCGTCGTCACAAAGAAAAGTCTGATTATCTTTATGATCTCCTTTCTAATCAGAAAAATCGTGAACAATCTTCGTTATGTTTTCTTTGGAAGGCAAAGCCGTTGACGATGAGTAAAGCCGTAAACTGATGATCACACAGTTTCTAGGACCGTAGCCCATTTGTCAGCAAAGTCAGAGTGGTCCACACTCAATACTTTCCAGTCTGAAAAGTCGATGCTACTATCACGCAAGATCGAGACAACTCCGAAACATACGGGTTTTCGAAGTGTCATGAAACTTTCTTGGTCATATTAAAGAACAACAGGAAGTTCTTTGGGTTTACGCAGTTTATACGCAGTTTATATAGTTTATATGAGTTTATACGCAAAAATGTAAAGAAACATACTTCAGGAGTTCCGATGAATAACATAAAGCTATACCTTGAGGTTGTCGAACATCTCACGAAATTCCAAAGCACTTCCTCACTTACTAGAGCACTTAGGCAGCATCTCATTTCAACTAGCTGAACCCTGAGCACATTTTTCATTCGTTCATTTGCTTTGAAATCTTCGCGCACGGTTATGTTCTGTTTCGATTATGGCGGTGTTATCTTACTATCTAGTAATCTATAGGTGGTTTATCTTTTGCTGTCGATACGTAATCTCATGGACCTTGAAGATGGGATAGGTCTCGATGACCAAGCTATATTTCACAAAACATCACTCAAGCGCTGTGTGGGTGGTGCCGAAAATTTTCGTCATGGGTCAAAAATCGGTCCACATCTGCGCGGCATAACAGAGCGGTAGTGGAATCGTTAACTCGAAAGGGTGAACACGAAGTTTCGAGACCCCTGGTTGTTAGGTGGCACTTCTGAAACACTTGGACTCCGTTCATTCAGCTGTCTTTCGTTTCTGTAACTCTTCCTTCATGCTGTTCTCCGTGGTCATTGGCCGTCCAAGGTACACGCTGGATGTGGTCTGCCTAGTCGGGAACAATCCAGTTGATTTCTCTACCTTCGCAATATGAGTTCATCAATAATCGAATTTAATTCAAATTCAGAACTCAAGTGTTCTTCGATAAAATTTGGAGTGAAATTGATTTAAGATTTGGAATAAGATTACTACAATGTGCTATTCACAAATGTTTCCGATCTACAGAATTTCATCACCAAACAACGAGGGCCTCCCAATCGAAGGCAGGAACCATTAACTTTCGACAACAACTGCAATGAGGATCCTTGGATTATAAAGGTTCATTCATACCAGTATAATTTCAAAATACTTTGTTTAACTCATTTCTGGCGAAAAAGCATCCCATTAAATTATTTTCTGTAAAACAGCCACACTGTGATACTGAGATATGAGCAAAACTTGCGACTCCACTTGAGCTTCGAACCCGTGATTATCCATTCCGATGATCACATGTTATCCATTGCACCACTAAGGCACTCGTTTTCTATTTCTCTCAGGCAATTTTCAACGATAACGGTGCTATCAGCAGTCACTCGTCAACGGAAATGATCTAAGCAGCACAAGTCGGCATTAAACCCAGATAAGCTGAGGCCACAATCGGAATTACAATGTTTAACTTTCTGACTTACTGTCCCTTATTTTTTCATAACAAATTATTATGTGAAATACAGCCACGATATTGCTGAGATATGAGCAAAACTCAAAACCTCAGTTGAGCTTCGAACCCAGGAGTCCCCGGAAAGAGTAATGGCGGTACGAAAGTAGCGGGAAGCAGAAAAGTGGTATTTTTATTGCAAAATATAGTGAAACTATTAGAACCGAATCCGAAAGAGAGATATGAGAGAAAAAGTAACTGGCATAAGAAGACAGAACAACATTGCCTATGAGGTTTCCATGGAATTTAGAATACAAGTTAGCTTCTGCAATGTGTGACGATTCTCTTTGAATTGTCTTGTACTGCGTTTCCTTTTCACCGTTTCCTAATCCTACGTAGCACAGCGGCGAGTGTTGCGCAGCGGTAGTAGGCGCCACTGCGACACACACGTGGGATCGATCCCCGCGCCCATGGCCCACCAAGCCCTCCATCCTGGGTCGCCAAATTGGTACCAGACTTGTCTGGGAGGATAGTAGCACAGGCTCGATACATCGGTAGGCGACCGCGCGTTATTGTAAAGGCCAGATATGCATTCATTCACCTCCAACGATATTTAATGAAGTGGAATGCATGGCGCATCCTTCAGGGATTGATCAGCGCCGAGAGCTTTATCCTTTATCCTTTTACCTAGCACGGGGGTTAGAGTGCTTGAAATACACATGTGGTCATTGGTCCGATCAGCCTGCCCGCTCTAACCAAACATTCCAAGCTCACGCACCGTCACCAGTATATCACCAGAATAGCGCCGGACCGCCGCGCTCACCTGTTGGCCCGGGAAATGCAGAGATATAGTGAGCAGTGCGGCGTGCATGTCGTTGCGATTGGGGCATGTTTTATGCGAAAGAGTCATTTGTTTGCGACCAAGTAATTATTTTGGTTGCAGCGTGTTTTAACTCATCACGACTAGGACAGTGTTGCTGAGCAGAGCATTTTTCGCCTTCCCCCATTGCTATGTTAGATTTGTCTACTGAGATCAAATTTATCAGAGACAGTATATTTCCACTTAAAGCCAAGTGCATTTCCATATCCATGGGACTTTTACCAAAACTTTGCTCAGATACGGGATTTATTTTAACGTGCACTACTTAATGGTATGAAATTTTATGCCGCGTACACGATTTTATTTTACTGGTCATTTATCACAAAATATCGCAGTGGTTATGGGTAACCTGCAAGATAGCCTTTTTCGCTGGTTCAAGCTTCCGTTCCGGAGTAACCAAATCGGCTATCTTTTTGTGACGTCGGAACGCGCCCAAACGTGTCTACGAGAGCAACAACATTGACTTGCACTTCGGTGCGATCTTCCAGATCGTCTAGGCCAACTATCCCTACGTTGCTAAATGCAATCAAGAAAGTGACGCATAATTAGGAACTGGTTAGTGCTGAGTGCTTTAGGCTCTTTTATCACCTTAAATCCATTCATCTAGCTAAGTTACCTGTCGTCATAATTCAATATTCAACCATGTTGCTTGCCAGAAACGCTCGAGAGAATTAATTACGATTGCCCAACTATTTTTAGAGATCCACTTATATTTTTTCAGCAACGTTCAACAGTTACATGTGAGACAAAGTGCTTCAAGTGGCAACAACTGCTGAATAATTCTGGTAAATACTGAAAGAATTTGTAGCCCCTCATTATACTCTTTAATGCAGCCACTGCCATTGTCGGCAGATTTTCACGGTGAACCACGGTGTTCCATAGCGAGTGGTGTAGCGTGATTATAACCCTCTCGTTCCACTAATCAATAAGTACCCGTTGCTCCTACAACGTTGAATAGTTTCTTTTCATGTTTTGTCATCGTCTATAGTTCAGTTCTTCTACTGTAGGTTCATTCTCGGTGATGACGCTTCGCGGTTGCTACAACAGGATATTCGACATGATGAACCCAACCACAATCCCAGTTCCTGACAACAATTTCTGCACGTGGGGTGAGGTTCGTGTAAACGGCTTTAAATAGTTATTCTTACTAAAGAGTTAAAAAGGACTATGAAATAGCTTTCTATGTATACATATACATATATATATATATATATATATAAAATCTTAACCCTTTTATTTACTGCCTTTTTTTTCTTTTTATTAGCAGGCTATGTTGCGAGACATAACTCGTATATAATGCTGAGATATTTGCAAAACTCCGGACCGCAGGTGTATGCGGTGGGGAACGAACACGCGCTGTTGTCCTTATCGGGGAGCAACGCACTTCACGACCACACCATCCGGGCCCTTCGTTTTGCCTGTCTCTCAGGCTAGTACTATCGATCTTTTGCCATCAGCAATCACCTGTCAACGGGATTGATGTGGGGAGACCAAATCGGCATTGAACCCAGTTAAGCTGAAGCTTAGTTATAATCACAATCTTAACCCTTTTATTTACTGCCTTTTTCTTTTTAATGGCAGGGTATGTTGCTCGATAGAAGTAGAAAAAGATCGATAGAACTAGCTGAGAGACAAGCAGAGCGAAGGACCCGGATGGTGTGGTGGTGAAGTGAGCTCTTGCGGTTTGGAGTTTTGCAAATATCTCAGCAATATATATATATATATA